CGACGAGTGCCGAGCAGCTTCCCCCTTGCCACGAGCCCACGGCAACGCCGCGCTTCCAAACCCCAATGGTCTGGGGGACGCGACTCGGGGTTTGATTCCTGAGCTCCGTCGGGCCTCGCTCAAAGGCTCGGCCACGGGGACGGCTTCGGGGTGACCGTGAAGGTCCCCTGCCGGATGGATAACGGCGGGATGGGGGGAAACGAGGCTCCGGAGAGACGCGGTGGGACACCGACAGCCTCTCCGGCCCAGGGAGCGCAATACATCGGCCTCACTGTAACCGCCACGGCGTCTCCCTCCTCCTCCTCCTCGCAGCCGGATGCTCAGAGTCCACCCGGTCTCATTAAGAGCAACCCGCCGCTACGGCGCGGGGTCGTGCCGGGACACCTCGGGCTCGAGGGGGGAAGCTCGATTCGGGGTCGAATCGAAGCTGCTTTGGAGAGTTTTGTGGCACGGGGCGGTTTTAATCGGTAACCGGGCGGTGGAACGCGGCGGGCGGCTGCGTCCCCGGGGCGTTGGCTCCGGAGCAGAGGGAGGGACGCGAGCGCTGAAGCAGAGTTTGGAGAAGGCCATTGGAGAACGATGCTGTACCATGTATACCTTGAGCCACTGCTTTTCCGTCAGCGAGTCGCTGTAGTCCACCTCCTTACGGTGCCGCGAGCCTCGCCCAAACATCTTTTCCTCCTCCTCCTCACACGTCAACCTCTCCACCTCGGCATCATCCTTGATGATCCAAGACGGCAGCTCATCTTCCTCCATCAGGCGCGGTTTGCGCTTGGGGTTTCGCGCCTCCTCCCGCCTGCGGTCCAGGTCCATGCGCTGGAAGAAGAGGGGTTTGCTGTGGGGCTGCTGGCAACGCCACGGCGAGGGGTGACTGCTATGTCCCTAACGCCTCGGGGCGTCCTCGGAGGAGCACGGGGTGCCGCAGGACCGGCACGACCTTGAGATCGATGGGGTTCGGGGATATCCGAGCCGGCAACAGGGCTGCGGCGACACCGGGGACGGGGGACATCACCCTTCGACCGCGCCGGCGTGCGTGGTTAG